TCATGGAACACCAGACTGGAGACGACCAATCGTTCGTGGATTTGCTGGATGCCTGCTCAGATGGCTTCCTCAAGCGCCAGAAGACCGACATGTCATCAGGTGGTCCTCAGAAGAATGGCCGGGAGCAGCGCAAGAGGAACTCCAGTTCCTCTGCCAGCACCTCGGATGGTCGAGACGATCTCCTTTTGATGGTGGCTCGCTTGACCCTCCGCCAGGAGGATACTTTGAACCAGCTTGGCTTGGACACCAGCCTGATGATGTTCCTCCAGTGCGGCAGAGGCTCGATCATGCCCACTTTACTCGAGACAGGCCGTCAATGGAACACTCAGCGGCAAAATGGAGACGCCTCGACATCGCTCAGACAGACCATGTTCCTGACAGTTTTTCAGGAATTGATCAACCGAGCCAGCAAGCTGCAACTGACCAAGCCGGACGATGCCCTGGTCATGGGGTTGAAGGCCAAAGGCATTCTCACAGAGGATCACAAGTGGCATTACCTTACCTGGAACTCAGAGGCCAAAGCCCTCCAACCGAATCAGAAGACTCCATTGACCTCGAAGGACATTTGTGCCACTCTGCAACGGATTCACCTGTTGGGCCAGAATCCGGCACTGATCCTGAAGTTTGCGGCTCTTGAAGACATTGAAACATATTCATGATAATATATATTCTATGACAAGATATTATAATGAAATTATTTGAACTATTTTCAGGCCCAGGTAGTGTTGGAAGAATTGCTAAAGAGTTTTGTTATATTGCAATATCATTTGATCTCAAAAATGCTAATATCAATGAGGATATACTGAAATTTGATTATAAGAAATTTGACAAAGATTTTGATATTATTTGGTCATCCCCGCCTTGCATTGAATATAGCATAGCAAAACAAACAGGCACTAGAAAAAATGATGAAGCAAATGAAGCAATGAAGAAAATTATTGAAATAATAAATTATTTTGATTCAAAAGGGTTTTCGTTGAAAAGCACCAGACCGGACTTTTGAAGGAGCAAGAATTCATGAAAAACTTTGTTTTTTGCTGTTAATTATTGTAAAGATGGAATTGCATACAGAAAACGCACCAGATATTGGACAAATATAAAAAAAATTGAACACCTAAAGCATTATGTAAAAAAGATTGCGTACAAATCGAAGGGAATAGGCATAGGGAAACAACACAAAGGGCGCCTAGCAATAGGAAGGAAACATTGCCTGAAAACTATTCATTGTTTAATCAGAAGGAATTATATATAATCCCAAAAGAGTTGATCAGATAAATATTTATGTAATATTGTAATTTAGATATTTGCTTTACTATTTTTCTATAAGAAACCAATGGGGGATGTTCACCTGACCAATACTTAAAGGGATAGTAGCAATAGGCATTAAGGAGATGAAAGGTGATAAGTTTGAGAATGTGTATTGTCAGGTGTGTGAATGCAATGTGAGGAAAAATGGATGGGGGAAGCATGAGAAAACAAATAAGCATATTAAGAATGCTAAGGGTGGAGGTGAGGAAGTGGAGAAGAGAAGGTGTGGACAGTGTGGATGTAATAAGGAATTGGGAATGTTTAATGAAAAGAATAAAATGTGTGCTTAGACAGATGGAAAAGGTGGGTGGGGAGTAATGTTGAGAAGAAGAAGGAGATTGATAGAGTTTGGAGAGAAGAGAACAGGGAAAATAATATATTATATGATCGGGAATATAGTTTGATTGAGATGTGGTGTGCGGTAAGTGAATGCAAGGTGAGAAAATGTAAGTGGAGAAGATATATTGAGAGTAGGAAGCGTAGGATGGGTGGGGAGTGGGGATGATGGAAAAGATGGTGTGGGGGAAGATGGGAGAAGGGTGGTTAGGTGAACATCCCCCTTGATCTGTTCCTACTAACATATCTGAAAATGGAGAGAATATGGGATTCGTTCAATAAGTTTTACAGGATCACATCTTCTTGCTTGTTTCAAAACTAATAGAGGTCCCGATCCTTCCAATCATTCATATGATCCATAGAAATACATTCAAATCGCATTCTTAATTGTTGTATTTGACCCCGGAATTCCCCCATAATTACGTCAAATAATATCTATTTAATCGAGGCTTCTGTGGAAATTATTGATTTCTGTATTTATATAGTAATAAAGCTCTATTGGACATAGAATCTTTTTTATAAAATGAATTTATATAATCAAAAACAACAATATAATTCTATTGAATAATTTATATTGATTTAATGTATTTAATTTATAAATATTTTTTGCAAATTAAACATAAAAATATGTTGTTTCATAAATTAATTCAATGATCTTCAATTAATAAATAAATAGATTACATATTTAATAGCAAAATCCATAAAATAGAGAAATAAATTTATTTTTTTAAAATATATTTAATTTATAAATATCTTGTGTAAATTTATAAAATAAAGAAATCAAAAAAAAATCCAAAAAAGAAAAGAATTTAAAAATAAATTACTAATGTATTTATGATAATTGATTTCTTTCTTTCATTTATTTTCAATTTTTTTAAATAATCAAATGCATTTTTAAAAAATCATAAATCTTTTTAGATTTATTTAATACAAAATTAATAAAATATAAAAATATATATATTTAAATTTATCTATTGTTTAAATGTATTCAATTTATAAATGCCTTTTGTAAATGGAAAAAATAAAAATAAAATTAATATCTTTTATAAATCAATAAAATATAAAGTTCAAAACCAAAAAAATCAATAAAATTATTTAATCTATTAATATTTCTATTATTCTGCAAAAAAAATATATATATTAGAAATTATGCGAACGAAGCATGATAATAAAGCAAGAAGAGAAGGAACAGGAATATTCTTAAAAGACATCAAAAGAATAGAGACGTATTTTGTTTATAATTGAAAATTAAGAAGAAATAAAAGACATAGATAAAAAGGATATTCCATATGCTGAAAGAAAAAGTTCAAAGACATCTTGAAAAATATATGTTCTTAAAATAAGAAATAAATAGAAAAACAAAGAATAAAACAATCGAAAAATAAAGAAAATATAAAAGGAAAAAAAAAATCAATAAAGAAAAAAATAATTGTGGTTTCATTGTTTTATTAAATTATTATTTTTTGGATTCTTTTTAATATGTTATTTATTTATCAAATCCAAAAAATATATATATTAATTAAAAAAATGTTTATTTTATAAATATTTTTTACTATATGTATTTTTAACGAAATAATTCCTAAAAAATCCTCGCATATATATATACATATAATTACCGTCCCCCCACAATCCCCCCCATATACTATTTGTATCGTAATTTATAGTATGTTATACATATTTATTGTATTATAAAATATAGCAAAAAAATTCTATATAATACCCTCCTTCCTTAATATTCAACCCTTTATATTATATGCTTCAAAATATCAAAAAAAATATCATAACAAAACCAAAAAAATAAATAACAAAAAAATCAACCTCATTAACAATCTTTAAAAAAAATCCTTAAACAAAATCAAAAAGCCAAAAAAAAACACAAATTAAAAATAAATTACCTATCCTCATAGTTTGGTTTTTTTTGAAGAAAAGCAATACTTATTTTAAATTCAAATCACTACCTACATTCAAATCTACAAATTTTGTCCATTTCATTCCATATCAGGTCGGATATTATGGAGGATACCAGCGATGCGGGGCATTTTGTCTAAGCCATATTTGTTTGGCATTCTCTGGCCTGTAGCCTTCTGCTCACGTCCCCCCATCTCAGGTTAGACGCCATGGACGTTGATGTCAGCGACGGGGACCCTTTTGGATAAATCCACGGTATAATCAGCATAGGGCACCTTCCTTGCGTCATCTTCTCCTAGATGTTTATCTACCATCGTTTGCCTTCGCAGCAATTCGTATCCATCAACCGCATTCGTTAGTCAGAATTGGACATTCTCAAGGATTCCTGCAAGCCAGAAGAACTTCTTAGAAGGCGGCCCAGCCCCAACGTCCTTTCATGACAACACACTTTGGGAGCAAGAACCTGGTCTGCATTCATAAGTATGTGTCTTTGAATCATTGATCATACATTTGTGTGCGCGTGTGTCAAGACTATTTGTTCATCTTGGTAACTTCTGTCTCTTTTCATCTATCTTCATAGCCCTTTTCCTTATTGTACAAACTCAGGAGTGGTTGAAGAAGCCATCCGCAAGGCTGAGGAGAACTGTCGAGGGCAGAGGCAGCTCGGGACGCAGCCACGCAGAATGTCCCCCACATGAAGATGGAACCGCAGGAGTTCCAGGACGGGCATGCTTGGTTGGCAAATAAATGTCGCAGATCTCCGGTGGATATGGATGCTAACAAAGCTAGCCTTGGATGGACCAACTGGGAGGTTAAGAAGGAGCCGCTGGCTAAGTTCGCCAATCTTCCAGCCAGACGCTCGACCAGGGTCATTGAATTAGACACACCATCGCCAGCCAAACGGCCTCAAACACAAACATCTCTGCCTTCCTTGCCGTCCCTGCCGTCCTGTCCTGTCCTGAATCCTGAAAATGCCGAGTTGGGTCTTCCTGACGATAATGTGCCTGACATGGATTTGGAGACGGCCATGGAGGAGTTGATGGATACCATGGAGGGTATGCCACGAGTGGGCAAAGCTCCTGAGGATGAGAAGTCGAATACTTTCTGAGAACATTTCCAATTTTGACTCTTTCTCTCATGAGCTGCTCTTCGCTTCGCTGATCACTGATCGGGCAGGTAGGTAGGACTGGCGTGTAGCTGTTCCATGTGTTGCAATATCAATGCACAAACCGGAATGAGTGCGTATGCGTCGTGGAAAAAGATTTAGTATGCTTCCTGTCGCAGTGCCTTCGAAACTCGTGTTTCAACTCAAGCGTACACACACGCACATACACACATCGGTCATTGCCACAATGTGTTAGTGTGAGCTTACACATGTGCCTACTGTTAGTGACCAATTGCTCAAACACGTTTCATTCTCGTTCAACGTTTTGCTTCTTAGTGTCGCTATGCCGAAGAAGATCATGAAGGCTGTGAAGAAGAACAAGCCACAGGTTTGGCCTGCCTCGAAGACAGGAAAAGCTCGCGCCTTCATGAAGTCCACTACTACCATGAAGAAGCTCAAGCCTGTTCCTTATGTCCGGCATGCGGGTGTTCAGACGAAGTTTCGGAAGGAGAGAGTTCACTTTGGTGTGTCAGTTCAGGGCCTCTTCTCCATGCGCCCGCAGGCTTTGTTTCGTGTCTTGCAGAAGGATGGCATCCTCCCGGACTGGAAAGGCAAGGAGTGACCTCACTGTGGCGCTGGGAAGCTTCAAGGTCTACGCTTCTTCAATGACAGGAAGGTGTGGGCGCACAAGTTCACAGCCAAACATTGTCGCAAGTATATTCAGCCGCATGATTTCCATCCCATCTTCACTCATGGAAGTGGGAGCAGCCATACACCTTTGGGGCATCAAGCAGCCGTTCTATGCTGTGCACTTGCAGGGGTGCCAGTGGCTGCGACCCCTGTCATCTTGGGCATGAATCACAAACCAGTCTCTCGTATCTACAACAACATTGAGATTGCTCGCAGCCGCCGTGTCATCAAGAAGCAAAAGGAGATCCAGTTCGGGGCGAAGAACCAATGGCGCGATGTGGAAGCCGATGAAGTCGATGTCGGCAAGGAAATCGACTTGCAGCGCAAAAAGGCCAAATGGGAGCAATGGGGCGGCATTGTGGAACGAGGCCAGCCCAACACCTTGGTTCTCTTCCGCCTCCCTCCAAAAATTACAGCTGTGCGCTCTCCGGGCCCTGGCCCCATCACCAAGCGAGACTGGCGACCCATGGCTAACAAGTTCTTGGCTGGTCGAAATGTCATCTTGCATACGGACGAGACCTACAAGATGAAGGTGCCAAGTGTCCTGCACGACAATGTGGTGCACAAGAAGAAAAAGATGCTGGTCAAGGGCAAGCAGGTGTGGGTGAAACCCCACTACACAAAGATTTGGGAACACAAGCTTCCCTGTGGCAAGCGTGTGACCGTGAAAGCCGGCGCACAAATCATCGACCGCTTCTGGGGCCACCTGCGCACCTCCCTCAAGTACGCCCCGCGCAAAGTCGGCTCCATTGCCCTGGCGTAAAGTTCGAGCCGCGCAGTGGACGTACTGGCACCGGAGCCAGAACCTCTGGGTTGCCACTGGCCGGATGCTTGAGGATCTTCGTGCCTAATGACAAGATGTCGTCAAACAGGTCTACGCTGTAGCATCTTGAGCCTACACCATACTTTCCACGCTTCATTCAGGATTACATGTCTGGCTTCGCATATCTGGCTTCTTCATCACCTTTGCATTTGCTGCCATTTCCACTACTGCTCCATAGTCAATATGTCCGACAAACACACACACCAAATGACTACCAAGGTTCCACATTCAATATGTCTGTCAAGTACCCATGAAACCAATGACAATACCCCATCTCCAATGTGTTTGCAGCCCTTCACAAAAGCAATGCAACCATCCACAAAACCAATGCAACCATCTACAAAACCAATGCAACCATCTACAAAACCAATGCAACCATCAAGAACACCAATGGCTTGAAACTGACAATTTGGTTGCTTTGGTGTTGTTGATGGTTGCATTGGTTTTGTAGTTGGTTGGGGGGGGGTGGGGGGGGGGGGCTGAGCAAATATATATATATATATATCATTGATTTATGTTTTTTTGCGAGATGAGATGCAGCCGATGGCAACTTCTGGCGAACACCTTGGGTGTTCAGTTTGAGCGAAGCAGAACTTGCTGTAAACATCGGTCAGCTGAGCAATCCAAATTGACAAAGTCATCCAAAAGATCCATGATCATCAATCCCCAATAGAACCCAATCCCCTTCCCATAAGAAACAGGTCAAGCTGGCAAGAAGCGAAGGGTCTGTGATGCACAAATTGATTCTCCCCTCAAGAATAGAGGTGGCCGCTGTAGTCACCCGTCCTCCATCCTAGCGACGCTGTGACCTTGCGATCGTGGATCTTCCCGACGCCTTTCCCCAAAGTGCGGTCTGCGACTATGCGCAAACCCCGATGGCCTGTACAAACAAAAACACCACCGTGGCGCGACAAACTAGGCAAGACCCGTCCGATGCCGCGTCACACTTCCTGAATCACTAGTCTGGGTCTCAAACAAGAACAGGACGCGATCGCTAGTAGGTTGGAGGCCATCGCTAGTAGGTTGGAGGCCATCACTGATAGGTTGGAGGCCACTGCTTCTAGGTTGGAGGCCATCGCTAGTAGGTTGGAGGCCATTGCGATTAGGTTGGAGGCCATCGCTAGTGGGTTGGAGGCCATTGCTTTTAAATTTGGAGGCCATCACTAGGAGGTTGGAGGCCATTGCTATTGGGTTGGAAACCATCGCTATTAGGTTGGAGGCCATTGCTATTTGGTTGGAGTAAAGTCCACTTATTACCAGTTCTTACGCAACGCCTGGGCATCTGGACCGGTACCACCCTACCTGGCCAGGAACCTGTGCCTGGCTCAGCGTAGCAAGAGATAGCAAACCTGGTGCCTGGCAGATAACTGATAACTGTGTTTCCACACATGATCCGAAGAAACCAAGTCAAATGGCATGGTGGCTGGCAGAAACTAGCTGCGCTAAGACTTCGTGGGTCGGGGAAGTCATAGCTGCATGGCAAAAGAATGAGCTTCGTTCATAGACCCAGCAACTAGGGGAAAAGGTGTAGATGTTAGGAACGTCGTGTCATCTATAGTCATTGATAAAACCACTAGGACTAGCTGATCAGCTAAAGTGCGGAACAGTGGAATCAATCCAAAAGATGTGCGTAAGCAACTGCTGGTTAGATTTACAGAAATCCAACCAAGCTGTCTCAAAATAGCAATTGGGTGGATGGGCCCTGAGTTTTTACGGTTGACTTGTCCATCTCCTTGAGCCACGACTCACGACTCTATGGAACAACTCTTCACACTGGCCGGATTCGCCAGACCGGCCTGGCCAACCTGCCCCTCAATACAAATGGGAACGCCAAAGAAGGCCGTTGCCAGGCCTGAAGCCAGTCAGAACGTCAAAGTTTTGTGAAAAACAGGGCAGCCAGAACCATGTTGGGTCAGATTATCCCAAGAACACGCAGGTCTTTCTTCGATATACCTCTGAAAATGACTTGAACCCACCATTCACCAATGACCAACTTATCCAGATTCCTGATCTACCAAGGTTATGGACAAACCGTGAACTTTCATGCGCACGTGGGGTTTTCGCAACAAGCTCCGACACACACTCGGGACATGCGTACGGTACTTTGCCACCTGCCAGCCTAAGTAAGAAACCTTAAGGGTTCCAAAGTTTTCAAAGGACTTCAACAAAAGAACGAAAACGACAGGGTCGAGCGGCGAGCGCACGTTTGCCGACCTGAAAGTCTCACCTAAACAGCCTGGAATCTTAGAGAAGGATGTAATAGTTAACGCCACAACAAGCTGCAGGTAGAAGAAGGTGATCAATCTCCGCTTCACCCATCGTGGAATAGCTTCGTTGGTACAGGTATCCACGATGGGCCTGTGCCCCCTGCAAAAGTTAAAGACCAACAGGTCCCCTATGATTCCAGCCCCCTGTAAAGGGGGGCCAAAGGCTAGAACATGCTAGAACTAAGGTTCCAAGGTGTAAGTGCGCACGCACACGAAAGACAAAAAGATGAAGACATGAGAGGAAGACATGAAAGGCCGGTGTATGTGGTGGCGGTGAAAAGGAGCCAAGTGAACAGGGACAACCAGATGATCCAGACCTCATTAAAGCAACCTGGGCGACCTCAGACCTAGCTTTAATGTACGAGTGAACGTGTACGCTAAGGGCCGGACCGATGTGCGCACAAAAGAGACATAAAAAGGACGTGAAAAGAAAGAGGAAAAGAAACATGTATGCGGCGTGCGGGGGAAAAAAGAAAGGAGACACCAAGTGCAGGGGCCAAAAATGAAACCGAACCTGGCTTAAAGAACATAAAAGAACCTAGGAACACCTGGCCTAGTCCCCAAACAGTTTCCTGTTGGGGTTCTATCAGCCCTACAATTGAAAAAAAAGAGCTGGCCACGCTGACTGGCCGCCCCTGAGCTCTGTGGCCAGGCTCTG